TGAGGCTGAACATCTAATCCCATGATTAGATATAAATGTAAAATTATAAAACTTTTAGAAGAAAACATCTTCCTAATCTTGGGTTATGCAAAAGGTTCTTAGATATGAGATCAAAAGCAAAATCTATAGAAGAACAAATTAATAAATTAGACTATCAAAATTAAAAATTTTAGCTCTGAAAAAGGGTAGTGGTGAAAGAATACAAAGTCAATCTACAAATCGGAAGAAAATATTTACAAATCACATACCTGACATCAGATTTGTATCCAGATATATAAAGAACTTTAAAAACGAAACAATAAGGAAACAAACACCTCCCCCCCAAAAAAATGGACATAAGATTTGAACAGACACTTCACCAAAGAAGATATATGAGAATACAAATGACAAATAAGCCCCTTAAAAAATCATCAAAATCATTAGTCGTTAGGGAAATGCAAATTAAAATGACAATGAATATCATTATACACCTAACAGAAAGACAAAGATGCAAAGCAACTGGAATTCTCATACTTTGCTGGTAGTAATGCAAAATGGTACAACCTTTCTAGAGAACAGTGAAGCATATACTTACTATAAGATCCAGTAGTCCCAAGCCTAGGTATTTACCCTAGACAAATGAAAACCTATGTTCACATATACATGTACAGGAACGTTTACCATAACTTTATTCATAATCACCAAAAACTGAAAACAACCTAAATGTCTTTCAATGGGGAAAGGGATTTAAAATATTGCGGGTACATCCATACAATGGGATACTACTCAAAAATAAAAAGGAATGAATTTTCGATACACACACAACATATAAGAATCTCAATGGCATTATACTGAATGAAAGAAGCCAGTCTCAAAAGGTTACACACTGTATGATTCCATTTATATGACATTCTGGATAAGGCAAATCTATAGGGATAAAAAATAGATCAGTGGTAACTGGGGGTTACAGGTTGGGGGAAGGGTTTGACTACAAAAGGGTAGCAGGATTTGATTTTTGGTCCAATGGAACTAGTCTATGGTCATTATACAACTCTATACATATGTTAAAATTCATAGAATTGTATGCCAAAAAAAGTCAATTTAACTGTATGTATATTTTAAAATAATAAATTAATAAAACTTTTTAAAGAACCTGTCAACAGAAAAAAATTTATTTGGGTTGGCAAACTATAAACTTTACAGTTAAGACAGTCTGCAATATAATTTTATTCATTGATTTCTCAGGAATTGGTAAGAAGTTACAGATTTTATGTAACTACCTTGTAATAAATAAGATATTTTCTTAAATATTTTTGACAGTTCTCTCTAGAACTAGTGTTGGTAAATATTTTTTAAACTAATCTTAGACATCAGGGGGCTGGCTGTCTAATTGCTTACAATTATGCCATTTTTTAATCCCCATGAAATCCTTGTTGTTGTACCTTGCCTAATTCATGTGCAAGAGAAGAAAGATTTTTTTGTTGTTGACAATATATCATACTTGAAGGTAATTCAAGCAAGTCAAAATGTATTAAGTCCACCCACAGAGAGGTGCATTAATCCTTGAAATCCTACTGTATATATTAATAATTGGGGGGAATGGGGTATGGCCAAAGAATAAGGAAACTTCTGTCCACACTTTCCATCTCAAACTCTATTCTTTATTAGCTCTTCCTAAAGGGGGGTGGAGTTGCTAATCTGATTGTTCAGAGTCTGGAATTCTTAGGGAGAGACCATGGAATTGACATTTTCTTGTGTACTTTTTCACTTTCAACACCAACATCCAGTGGTCTTTCTTTTCTTCCACTCTTTGTCCACAAATTAGTTACAATGCCTTGATATTCCCCCACAAAACCAACAGCACTATAAGGGAAAGTCCAGATATCTCCTCCCAGAACTTTCTTTCCTCCCAAATGAAACCTTTTGCTATAGCCAGAGGCTAAGTAACCTAGGTCAGTTTAGTATTATACATAGGAGCCAAAATATTTTTCTATATCAGCTGTGTCACCCACTTTCCTTTGGCCCTGGTGGTATGCTTCTAAATCTCATATTGCTCCAGAAAGAAAGATTCCACTTTCAGTCTGGAGGAAGGAAAGAAGAAGAATTTGGGAAAAGGAAGCAAGGGGCCTCATTTTGGCCCTTAGCTTGAGCCATATGCCTCCGCTTAGTTTAACCTGCTATTTACAGATAATATATTTATATTTTATTCCTCTTTTTATTGTTGTTTATGTATAATTCCTACAGAGGAAAAAGAAACCAGTGATAAGCTTCAGGTAACTGAATCCTTAAATAGTTAGTAGTTATGGCCCCTTACCTTTAAGAGACTTAAAAATTGGTGTGCACAAAATTAAAACCCTCCTAAATTACAAAGTCTGTGAATGGTATGAGAGGGAAAGTGAATACTTGAATTGTCTGCCCTGCATAAACTGAGAAACCACTCAAAGACCCTGCCGGATTTAAGGTCTCTTCCTTACAATCTGTAGACTAACTGAACCAAGAGAGTGCAGGGATATTTTGGACCATGTGCCATGCATGAATACTTATAGAATTATATAAATTCCCATCTCACTGTACTTCTGGACTGAAACTTGCTTCGTGAATCTCTGTCACTCTTTACCTTTGCCTTTTGGGTAAGCAAAGAGGCAGCAGAACCATTTAAAACCATCCACAGAGGCAAGGCCAGAATGAGACCTCAGGGTTCTCATTTGCTAAAATCCAAAATACTACAGTGGGTTTTGAAGGACACAGTGCCCACTGACCCAATTTTATTAACAGCTTATTGTTAATTTATTATTATATTCATCTTGGATTATCAAACACATTTTATTAATTTTGGAATGATCGTAAACATTCCTCTGTTCCCTCTCTTCCTGAGCATTAGGTTGGTCTGGAGAAAGGGGTGGAGGAGTCTTTCCCTTGACTAGTACAAAACATCAGGATGCACAGATTATAGAGATTTAGAAGAGCAAGAGTTCTCGAAATGAGGTTTAATGCTGAAAAGATGGCAGAATTCAAAAATAATTCATTGTTCTGATTTTCTTTCAGAATAATATCACTATATGAGTTAGAAGACATAAGATTAGTAGATGAGAAGGTAAGTTGACATATATTTTTGCACCCTGTTCTTATTGCCTCAAAATGCTTATGATTTTTTCAAGAGAAACTCAAAATTGAAGAAATGACTCAAAGTGTTTCATCACAAGTTTCTGTACATATCCTATCCAGGTCAATTTATGCTATCTCTGACAGTTATGAATAACTTCTACTTTCCCTACAGGGAAAAAAAACTAATACAAATCTTAGAAGAAAAATGGAAAAGTAAAGCTCTGTCCAGACAGTGGACTGCCTATGCCAAGTCAGTCAACTCCAGAAATCCCCCCCACTGCTAACTGCACAATCCTTCTTCACCCACAATCAAGCTTTTAGAAAATGCCCCGTTAACATCACCCAAATAACCCTAACTACAGCACATCCTCCACCTTGGAAATGGAAGGACACTTCCCCTTGGATACATCTAAACATGTACCAAAAAGCAGCTATCCCTAGACTGGTGAGGGGATTTTTTTTTTCCAGGAAGACAGGGCCTGTGGTATAGGGGGAAAAAGACAGAATTTGAGGTCAGAAAACTCCAGCTGAGGCTGGCAAGACTATCTGGAATCAGCCTCCCTGGGGGTGGTAAAATAGGAATGATACTGTTTACCTCATAGGCTAATTTAAAGATCGAATGAGTTAACAGCATGTAAGAGCTTTATAAAGTATTAAGTAGTTTATATATGCAACAAAGAACTGTTGTTTTCCAGCCTCACAGATCCTGTATTGATTGTATGTCCTTCACTATGCAGAACAATTTCTTGCTTTAAATTATCTAGGATGGGGGCAGAAGGGCTCCTAGGCCTGTAGTGAGTGTCAGAACTCACAGAAATTCATTCCTGCCTCCCCGTATAGCATGGTGATGTGTGTGTGTGTGGGGGGGGTGCAACTTCCTCTACTTAAGTTTCGCTAATTGACTTTTCTGAAGCCCAGACTCAATTCTTCTAATTTTAAAATACCTTCCCTTCCCAACTATCTGAGGTCCATGTCCACAGCAAATGCAAAACAACCTTTCAAATTAAAGAACTGTAACACAGTTAGAATTCTAGGCTCCTCTGCTCTTTTCCCTACTCACTTTTTTCCAAAGCCGTCTTTAATGAAAGCGGAGCCTCGAATTTAAGAGGGAAAAGAAGACTTTGTATCTACCCCGAGAGACAGACAGCTTCGTTTGTTAACAACGACCATGCTTTCCCAGCTGTTACCTAACTTCGCCTGATCTCGTCTGAAACACACATCCATGTCTTTGCACACGCACACACTCGTAAGCTGGTTAAACGCAGACAAATCTGACTCTTCCGCAACTTGTAGCCACAGATAACAGCAAAGGGACCAAAGTCCTTCACCAGCAGCTCCAAAACAGACACTGCAACCGCCAGCGGCGCCACAGTAGCAGCCTCTCTGCTGCAGCGTTCAGCGTCCAGAGTTTCAGGTCTAAATCCTTAAGGAGTATCGCTCTTCTGCCCTTCGTCCCACTACCCTGGGCTTCGCCCACTTCTCTCCTCAGGAGGTTAGGAGGAATCGGGTCACTTTGCCACTTCTGCGGAGGGGGAAGTGGCAGTCAAGAAGATTCTCACCAAAGAAGCCCATTGCTCTTTGTCCCATTTCTCCACCCTCCCGCCCACACAGGCGGCTGTGCCGCTGACGAAGGTGCCAGTTCTCAAGGTTCCTGAGCTCCGATGGGATGTGGAGGAGCCAGGTGGGAAAAGCAGCGGCAAGACGACAGCTGGTGGTTGTTAAGAGGACATATGAGGCGGGACGGGGGAGAAGGGTAAAGACGCTGCACAAGGGCACTCTCCTGCCCCTCTCTCACGGACAATAACTCCAAAACGCGCAGATGGGCCATCAGGTAAAGGCCTTTTCTCCCTATTCTCTCCCTTCTCTTCCCCGCTCCCCGCCTGGACACCTGGTGAAAAAGCAAGGTGCAGGTGTACCTGGAGCGAACACCATGATTTCCTCCAGCCGCTACGCTCCTAGGTAAAGAGAGACACACAGACGTAATGTGGGAGGAAGGCCAGGACTTGGAGGGGTCCGGTGCAGGTGCGTACGCAGGGCGCCGTCCGGTTGCGGGCCGAGGCGGTCAGCACCTCGGACAGCTCTCCGCCCGGCGGTCCCGGGGGCCGCAGCTCCAGCTGCTGCGGCGCGCTCAGCCTCCACAATGCACTGCTCTGCCCCTGGCCACCGCGGCGGCTGGAGGAGGAGACGGAATCCTTGCTCAATTCATCCCTCATTCCTATGCCAGCTCAGCGTACATAGCTGCTTAGAGAGCAAGGCACTTCTACCGATTCCACCAGAGAAGGAAGGACGGAAGAGGAAGAAAGAAAAAGGTAATTGCCCGGCTTCCCGGCAGGGGGACAGCTAATTGCTTCTAATTACCTGCTGTCGCTCGCCCCCGTGGATATTGGACTGACATTTAAGATGGGTTTGCGCCTGCCCCCCCGCCCTTTCTTTTTAACTCAAAAAGCTTTTCTCTCGAGGCTGACTCTTGAGTTCTCCGAGTTGGGCTGGCTCTGAACAAAAGGTTGGGACCTCCAAGTTAATTGGTCCTTGAAGTCCAGGACTCCTCTCTCGCTCCGAGTCCTAGTCTTATGCTAACGTCAGAAAGACAGCGGGAGGGAAGGATACTGTGACTGTGGAGGCGTCAGCAGGGCGCCCCTATCAGACTGGACTCCCAGGCAGCCAATTCGGCTCTAAAAACTCCTAAGCTAGGAGGCCCTCAAGGTCATCACTTTAGAGAAAGCTGAGCCGGACAGAGCAGAGGAAAGAGACCTCGATGAAGCTGGTCTCCTCCACCGACAAACTCACACACCCTACGAAAGGATGAGCCAACAGAGGCCCCTTCAAGTGTGAAAACAGACCTGAAACTCATCAAGAAACATTAGTGCTTTCCCTACCTTTACTCAACTGAAAAGTGTGCCTCCCTGCCCCCATGTACACTCAGCTCTACTGTAAGATACCGGGGTATGCCCCACACTAACTTCATACTTCTAATCCACTGCTCATTTTAAAGCATTATCTAGTTCCCCTAAGAAATGCTTGTGCAGTGTGGACAGCCCACACCAAATGTTACCCAGCTTGAAACAAGTCCATCTGTGTTACAACCCCAAAGCTAGAGTGGCAGAGGGTCCCCAGCCTCAAGGCAGGTATCAGTTGGTTTTTGTTTAATCCTTTGTTTTTCCAGTTGAATGGAGTTTTACAAGAACAAAGGGTGATCACGGTCATCTCCAGTGTTTTATAGGGTTTCTTTGCACCTCTCTCTGGAAAATGTAACTATTCTGAAAATAATTTCTTAATAATTTGGATGGTGGCCATAAGTTCTACACTATTTTGGCAAATATAAAGCATTCAAATAGCCTTATTGGCATTGGTTTTGTTCAAAGCCATCTGAGAGATTGAAAATGCAAATAGTTTTCAGCTCTTGAACTATAGTTTGCATGGAGGCATATGGGCAGCCTCAACATAATACAGTCAGTACTGCTCTTAGCACCTGGCTCAACATAGGCTTGAATAGATGGGGCCTGCCTCAACAGCAACAAGATGCAAGTCAGCCAATGGGCAGGATAAAGTGTGTGCATAACAGGATGCAGTCCTCTCTCTTCCCTAAGTTACACCAAAAGCCAGGGGCCAATGATGTTTCACTCTGTCTCATTTGCTTTATCACCATGAGAAGTGCGAAACGCTTTTTGAAATAATCTTTGAATGACTGAAAGACTTCTTTCTTTTAACACACTCAGTAGGGCTCTCTTTTGCAATCTTTTTTTAATGGGCTTTATTCTCCTAATGCATAAACAATTACTCAAGATTAAGTTCAAGAAAAAGCAATAGAGTGTAGGAAAAGAAAAAAAGACTTGGAAACAAGTCAGACCCAGGTATAACATATTCACCAAAAGTAGTTATCTTGGATAAATTACTTCACTGTCTCATCTGCAATATAAAGATTAATGTATCTCCAAGATTTGTTGTGAGGATTAAATGTGATAATGGATTAATGGATTAATTAAGAGACAGTACAACCTCATTTAACACCATCCAGGAAATTACTGACACCCTGGGAGTAGATGATACCCTATAAGAATGCAAACTAAATATGTTATATCAGTACTTCTTAAACATTAATGTGCATGTGAATCCCATGGAGATCTTGTTATAATTATGATTCAGTAGAGCAGGGTGGGGCCTGAAATTCTGCATTTCTAACAAGCTTCCCGGTGATTTCCATGCTGCAGGTGCTGTTGGTCCACAGGCTACATTTTGATGTATCAACATTTAAAATAAACAAATTACTTACATCCCCTCCAACTTCAGAGCCCATCTTTCTAAATGTTTAATAAGGAAGAAATCTCGATGGATTCCCATAGAGTTCCAAGCTAGACCAAGGCCTAGATGATAATAGAAAAAAGAATGCCTAAAAATGGTTCCAGGGCTCCTTCGATTAGCCTGCTGTGGCAATAGGAGGTAAGATGATCCAGTAAAAACCAATGCAACAGTTTAAGGACAGAAGAAAAAACTCTCTTCTCAGCCCCATCCTCAGCTCTTCTCTGACCTTCCTCCTCCCATCATTTCTTCATTTTCTCTACCCAACATACTACTGCTATCCAGGACAATATACTCCCAATCCAGGTTTTGCTTGTTTATATTTTAAACAATATAATAAAACCAAGATACTTTCATTTTTTCTTTACAGTTATTTCATCAGTAAATCTTATATTCAACAATATTATCTCCAATTTTTACTTCTACTGGAGTTATTATCCTATTGGTTTAATTTAAATGCCCTAACGATGCTACTAGATTTTTTTTGTATATTAATGTAAATGATCAATTTAGTTACAGTATGCCTTAGAGGAAAACAAAATTTCCTTTTATCCTACCATATGATCTAGATTCTTTTATCCAGTCTTACCCCACAGCTGAGGCTTAACTTTCCAATATAGTCTCAATCTACCTCTGTTTAAACACTTCCACTCAAGGCAACTCACTCTCTACTCAAACTATCCATTGCACTTTGAGATAGCCATCTATCAGAGAGGCAGCCACAACCACTACCACCACCACCATCTACCTTGTTCTAGCACCTCCATTTCTAGTCATTGATGGGAATAGTGATAGGAAGAAAGATAGTTAACAAGTTGGATTAGGTGCCCCAACTATTTTGCTCTTGTGCTGAGTTTATCAAACTGGGTACTCCTACCCTTATGGATACTTGAACAAAGTGCTGGATGAACTGGAAGGCACATGGTGTGGAAAGTCACCTGAAAGAACCAAGTATTTACTTGGAGACTTGGGGGAATATTTTATACAAAAATGAACATGGACACACTATGAAATAGTTATTTAAGTGACATAAAACATTAAATTGGAGACTTCAAAGAAATTACCATAGGCAGATTAGGTCTATAATTCAGAATTCCTCATGTCCCTATCCATTCCCTCTAACATTCATTTATTTAACTTTACCTTTGGAGCTTTAACAAATAGAAAAGTTTAAAAACCCATTCTGAAATATTTCCACTGTTTCTATTTGCAGCTCACCTTGTCTCCAGCCATACACCCTGATACTTCCCACTCCATACTTATTTTAAATGCATTATGTATCCAACTAAAATTTTAAATAATTTTTAATATCTCTGAGGACAATTGAAAATGATTAAAAAGAAACAGTTTCTTTTTTTATAGGTTCATCTTTGAAAGCTGTTCTATGGAATTTTTTTCTTTTTTTTAATTTATTTTTCAATTACACTTGATATACAACTTTATATTAGTTTCAGGTATATTTCAAATAGTGATTAGACATTTATATACCTTATGAAGTGATCACCCCAATAAGCCTAGTAGACATATGACACCATATATACTTATTACAATATCATTGACTATATTCCCTATGCTGTGCTTTATATCCCCATGACTATTTTTATAACTGACAATTTATACTTCTTAATTTCTTTCACTTTTTTCACCCATCTCCCTAATACCCATCCCATTTGGTGACCATCAGTTTGTTCTCTGTATCTATGAGTTTGTTTCTGTTTTGTTTGTTCATTTATTTTGCTTTTTAGATTCCACATATAAATTAAATAATATGGTATCTGTCTTTCTCAAACTTATTTCACTTAGCACAGCACCCTCTTGATCCATCCATGTTATCGCAAATGGCAAGACTTCATTCATTTTTATGGCCAAGTAATATTCCATTATATATATGTACTGTATCTTCTTTACCTATACATCTGTCAATGGACACTTAGATTGCTTCCATATATTGTAAATAATGTTGTAATGAACATAGGAGTGCATATATCTTTTCAAATTAGTGTTTTGGGTTTCTCTGGATAAGTACCCAGAAGTGGAGTTTCAGGGTCATATGGTAGTTCTATTTTTAATTTTCTGAGGAACCTCCATATGGTTTTCCACAGTGGCTGCAAAAATTTATAATCCCACCAACAGTACACAAGGATTCCCTTTTCTCCACATCTTCTCTAACACTTGTTATTTGTTGATTTCTTGATAATACCATAAAAAGAAGCATTTTCATTCTGAAGCATTAAACTCTAATTGTTTCCAAAGGTCTTGGCTTATAGGTTTCAAATGATTTCAAAATGAAGTGCTGGAAAAGAACTCTTTTCTTCTCCTAACAGTTGCTAGAAGTCATTGAACTGGGTCTAATGAATGGCATAGAGGTGAATTAAGCAGAAATAAGAAAAGGAATGAGATGTCATATAAATGGACATTAAAAATAGAAAAACTGAATGAGAAAGCAGATATTGCAAAGCTAATATTTGTGCTATCCAATTTGTAAAGACTTAAAGAGAGTGATGTAAAAATACATAGTGAGAGGGGAATGACATCAATTTTTTAAAATGAAGGTAGAATATGGAATAAAGGCGAGAATAAAAATAATGACTGTGCTACATTAAAAAAAGAAATGGGGGGCCGGCCAAGTGGCTCATTGGTTAAGAGCTGGCTTGGGTTGCCAGCTCTGAGCAGCAGGGCCCCGGTTTGAATCCCACATGAGGGCCAGTGACACTGCCCTCCACAGCTAAGATGAACAACAGCTCAACCTGGAGCTGGACTGCGGTGAGTCGCTGGCGACGGCGTAGGCTGCAGCCCCTGCTGCAGTGGGCTGCCATAAGCTGCTGCATGTCGCTGGCAGCCAGCGTGAGTGGACAGTAGCCGGTGTGATCTGCCAAGAGCCGCCATGAGCAGTTCTCCAAAGGCTGGCAACCAATCTGCCTCACCTGGGAAGAGCGCAATGATAATACCAACATGGGCCAGTGAAGTGACATCCTCCACAACTAGACTGAAGAACAAAAAGGACAACAACTTGTCTGTTCCCTCTTCCCCCAATTCCCCAGTGCTGTTCCCCTCCCCCAATTCCCCAATAAAATATAAAAAGAAAAAGAAATGGGAAATATTAAAGTATTTTTGTAGGCTTAAAAAGTAGAGGACAGGGCCGGCCGAGTGGTGCGATGGTTAAGAACTGGCTTGGGACACCAGAGGGCCCCGGTTTGGGTCCCACATATGATGGCCAGTGACACTGCCCTCCACAGCTAAGATATTGAATGACAGCTCAACCTGGAGCTGGGCTGCTGTGAGTCGCCCGCAACGGCGTAGACTGCAGCCCCTGTGGCAGTGGGTTGTCATGGGCTACCGAATGTAGCCAGCAGCCAGCATGAGTGGCCTGCAGTCGCAGTGAGCGGCCCTCCAGAAGCCAGCGACTGATGTGCCTCACCCGGCAAGAGCACAATGATGGTGCCAACTTGGGCCAGTGAAGCAACGTCCTCCACAACTAGACTGAACAACAAAAAGGATAGCAACTTGTCTGTTCCCCTTCCCCCAATTCCCCAGCACTGTTCCCATCCCAATTCCCCAATAAAAAAAAAATAAAAAATAAAAAAAATAAAAAAGTAGAGAACAATATCTCTGTAGGTTTGCATTTTATGAAGCAGTTTATGAATCCTGAAAGATGCTTTAAAAGGGACTGTGAAATAGCCATATTTTCTGAATAGGAACATGAGCAAAACTTCCTTATTGGAAAAAGTACATTAGAGCAGTTAACATTTTATAGTATGTTTGTGCAAATGAATGTTTCTTAAAAAAATCTGTTTTAAGACCTTTTTTTCCTACCAAAGAACTATGTATCCACATTCATTTTTGTAAAAAAAAAAAAGTTCTCCCAAATTACCAAATAAAATTGTTGATTCTACTATATGACAGGAGAGGGAAAATCAGTTGAGAACATTCAAATTAAAACCAACTTGGTTAGTTTTTAAGGAGAAGCATAAAGCATTCAACATTCAACTTATCTTCAAAATTATGAATAGACAGTATAAAACTTTACACAATAAATTCTGAGTGCATAAATCTATCTGTTTATATGTGCATAAGTTCTACACTATGTCATTTCAGAAGATAAAACTCAATGAGAAAAACAAAGACTGGCAAGAGGAGAGGTGAAGAGAGAAGTAAAAAGGATAGGAAAGGAATATGGAAAAGGGGAAAGAAAAGAGTCAGGAAATAGAAACAGAGCTCTCTAGGATGAGCACACATAAAAGGAGAAAAATATAAAAGACAGAAAAAGTGGCATATTGAGAGACTCAAAAAAAGATTTTTTTAATCAAAAGGAAGAAAGAAAAAAAAAGAATGACAAACTTTTTTTAAGTATAATGACAAAGAGGAGAGCCTCCATACAGTCCAAACTAATAAATTGGGTGTTCTTCTCATATCCTGCTCACTTGAGCTGTACCTATGTTTGAGAATAAATTTTATCATTACCTTTAGAAATACTTATTAATTTTTTAAACAATTCTTCAAAGCTCTTCATTTCTATTCAATTGCATAGTTCAGAATTAGGAGACTCATAGTATACTACACAGGGATTTTGGTATCAGAGAAGAATTATTATTCAGACCATGGTAGCTAAGTTGATAGTTAATACTGACTCACTGGTTACTTCTCAATTTATTTTAAAAGCCAGAGGGTAAGAAGGGAGGTAGGTGGTAGAAGAGGATAAAGATGGTCAAATGTATGGTGATGGAAGGAAAACTGACTTTGAGTGGTGAACACATAATGCAATATATAGATGATGTATTTCAGAATTGTATACTTGAAACCTATATAATTTTACTAACCATGTCACCTCAATAAATTTAATATAAATAAATAAATAACAGCTTGTAACATAAGAGAGATTTTTTTTGAAACCTTAGAGTAGGCAAAGATTTCCTAGATAAGACACAAAAAGCATGGATTATAAAATTAATTAATTAATAAATAGGACTTCAGCAAAATTAAAATGTTTTGCTATCTGAAAAACACTGCTAAGAAAATGAAAATGCAGGCTACAGACTAGGAGAAAATATTCATGAGATGTATATCTGACATATATATCCATAATTGTAATAACTCAATAAGACAACAGCCCAACTAAAAGTTGCCAAAATGTTTAAACAAATATTCACAAGAGGAGTATATTACTAATGGCCTATAAGCACATGAAGACTTCTCAGCATCATTAATCTCAGAGAAATCTAAATTTAAACCACAGTGAGGTATCATTTCGTATCCAGAAGAATGGGGAAAATTAGGACTCAGAGTGTCGAGTGTTGATATGGGATCACTGGAGCTCTCATACATTGCTGGTGGTAATGTAAAATATTACAACCACTTTGGAAAACAGTTTGATAGTTTCTTGTAACATTAAACATATATTTACACTAAGATTCATGCATTCCACTCCTAGTGGTGGCCCAAGAGAAATGAAAACTGTGTCCACACAAAGATTTATGCCTGAACATTGACAATAGCATTATTCGTCATAGCCACAATGTGAAAACACCCTCAAAGTCCACCAACATTGTATGGCTACACAAACTGTGGCTTATAGAAGCAACATATAGATAAATCTCAAAAATGTACTGAGCAAAAGAAGCCAGACACAATAGGGTATGTACTGTATGATTTAATTTCTATGAAATTCTAGAAAAGGCTAAAAAAGCTATAGTGACAGAAAGCAGATCAGTAGTTGTCTGGAGCTTGGGGATATGGGGAGGTAGATTGAGACTGACTAAAAAGGGACACCAGTGAACTTTTTGGGATAATGAAATTGTTCTATATCTTTACTGTTAGTGGTAGTTATATGGGTATATACATGTATCAAAACTCATTGAACTATACACTTATAATTAGTGCATTTTACTTTATGTAAATTACACTGCTATAAAGTTGATCTAAAAATCATTAACAACTTAATATTTCTAATAAATAGATATATGAGAACATCCTTAAAATGGGATATTTTGAAAGCTAGAATTAGCTATAAAGTATGCTAAGTCAATTTTTCCTAATTTTTAAAAATGTTTTATATCTGAAATAATTTTACATTTTCTAATCAACAC